TATAATTTATATTATTATAAATATTCCATTGTATCTGTTCCATGTATTTTCTGTAAAATTTTATTTTATTTTTGCGACATTCAGTGGTATATTTTATTTCAATAAGTTCTTATGTAACTGACTCCAGGTATGTCGTCATTTATCTAGTTTATCACTTTTTTCCTGTTAGAAACTAGTTGAAAGAATTAATTCCTTAAATGAAGAAATCTTAGTCTTTTCAGTTTATTGCAATGTAGAAATAACAAAGACTTATACCTATTCTAAGGGACTTAATCGCATACCTACATATATTAATAAAACACAAGTACAGCTGGAAACTTTTATTGGTTTTGTCCTCGGCTTTGGACTCTATTTACAACTCATTGTGTACTCTTAACTCAAATGAGATATTGACAGACAAATAATTTTCTTTAATCTAGATTTTATTGTTGTCCTTTCAAAGTTTAAGAAAAACTGAACTTTTTGTCTCTAAAACTTTCTATAGGAACAGAAGGTAGAAATTTTATATTATTATGAATAAAAGTGATTCTCCTAAAACAGACAATTAATTATAATACTATATTAATAATATAATATATAATAATTAAATATAATACAATTTTAATATAGCCTTATTATTTATATTTATTTTATTATTATTAAAAACGGGCATTCATCTACAAAACTATTCATCTCTAAAGCCTTTTTCATATTTAGTTAAAGTTCTTATTTTACTTTTATTTTGTTCATGAATAAATAAAAAATAATAAATATATTTCAAAATATTTTGAAATATATTACTCCTGAGGCAAATGTCATTATGAAAAACTAAAAATATTTTTGATACGGTAAATATTAAAATTATAACTTATTTCATTATGTAAAATATAGTATTTTTAGGGTTCCGTACCCGGTAGGAACCCTATTGGAACGGTTACAAAAATGACCATGTACCCCCCCCCTAGAACTCACAGTTTTACGTGATCTTCATAGAGTTTTCGTCGAAAAACATCAAATTTTGGCCATTTTTCGCAAAAAAGGCATGTACCCCCACCCTAGCGCTCACAGTTTTTTACCTAGAAAGTTGAAAATTGGTATGCATATGTATTTTCAAAAATGGATTAAAGGAAAAATATAGCGAACACATTTAGTATTGATCTTCATTCTGTTTTTATCGAAAAAGTCAAAAATTTTGAAAATTTCGAAAAAAATGCATGTACCCCCCCCCTGGCGCCCACAGTTTTTTATCTGAAGAGCTGAAAATTGGCATACTTATTCGTTTTTACGCATAGATTACAGGAAAAATATAGCGGAAGTGATTAGAATTGATCTTCATGATGTTTTCATCGAAAAACTGAAATCTCTTTTTGCAAGCTCGAAAATACTTTAACACTTGCTGGTTCTCGCAATTCTTAATCTAGTGGATCGCCCTTATACATTTTTATTTTTTTTTTCGTGTAGTTTTCAACCAACATACAGAAAAAATTATTGGAGTTCATCTTCATACTTTTTTTTTACGAAAAACTGAAATTTTTTTTTTTATTTATAAAAAAAAGTGTGTACCCCCCTTGGTTTTCACAAATTTTGATCTATTGGACTGCATTTTTTTTATTTTATATATTTTCATTTGCATATTTTAGGAAAAATATAGCAAACATGATCGGATTTGATTTTCAAATTTTTTTTAACGAAAAACTCAAATTTTTAAAAAAAAATTTCAAATAAGAGTGTATTTTACCCTAGCGCTCACCTTTTTTTACATAGAGAGATGAAAATTGGTACATATTGATATATAATTGATATATAAATTGATATATAATTGATATATATTTATTTTTATAAGAAAGAAAATTAGAAGTTTTTATGGAGGGTACGGAACCCTAGGTTTTAGTACGAGTTCTACTCGCACTTGTCCGGTTTTTATTTTTTTATACTTATACAGTTAATTTTATTATGAACTAGCTGTCGTACCCGTCTTCGACGGGTTTTAGTTACTACCAATACATTTAACAGTGTTTCTACCAATTTGGAAAATCACGAAATAGCCGGGAATTTAATTTGACCGGAAAAAAATAATAATTACCTAGTTACCATTAGCTATTTTGGTATGAAAACATTACTATTTGAAGTCTCCACCCTTCAGCAAAAAATAAAAAATTATTCAAAATTATCAAAAATTCGAAAACCTGAATTTCTTAAAATTCAACATTTTTTCTTCTCATTTACTTCATTAAGCTTCATTATTTTTGGGCTCTTCAAAAATACTTTACTTATTTAATAGTCTCCACCTTTAGGTAAAAAATTTAAAATTATCAAAAATTTTCAATTATTCAAAAAACCGAATTTCTTAAAATTCACTGTTTCCATAAAACAGAAGAAAATCTGTTTTATGGCATTTAGCTTCATTATTTTTTGGCTCTTCAAAAATATTTTACTTATTTAATAGTCTCCACCCTTTGGTAAAAAATTTAAAATTATTAAAAATTATCAAAAATTCGAAAACCCGAATTTCTTAAAATGCAACATTTTTTCTTCTTAATAAATAGTGAAAATTAACGATCACTCCGAGTCAAGGAAAATAAAAATAAAAGAAATTCAATTCTTTTTACGTTTCGGCAGCACAGCTGTCCTCTTCAGAACGAAAAAAAGAAAATTAGAAAAATTAAAATTATAAATTAAGATAGGTACATCTTTGTCGCTACGATTACAATATGACACTTTGAGTGTCATATTATATAATTTTAATTTTTCTAATTTTCTTTTTTTCGTTCTGAAGAGGACAGCTGTGCTGCCGAAACGTAAAAAGAATTGAATTTCTTTTATTTTTATTTTCCTTGACTCGGAGTGATCGTTAATTTTCACTATTTATTAAAATACGACTGAGTGATAGAATCATCTCTACTCTTATTTTTTCTTCTTATTTACTTCATTAGGCTTCATTATTTTTTGGCTCTTCAAAAATATTTTACTTATTTAATAGTCTCCACCCTTTGGTAAAAAATTTAAAATTATTCAAAATTATGAAAAATTCAAAAACCCGAAATTCTTAAAATTCAACATTTTTTTCTCATTTACTTCATTTAGTTTCATTATTTTTGGGCTCTTCAAAAATACTTTACTTATTTAATGTTGCCAATGTTACTGGAACATTACGTGCTACTGGGGAAGTACACTGAAAAAATGTTGAGTACCGTGCAATCCCAATCGTCGGAAAGTGGAGGAACTATAGTTTGGATGTGCTGCGTTCTCAATTCGGGAAATCTACGTTCCCATGTCGGTGGCGCTGAACACCCAAGATTTGAGACTCAAATCCTTGAGACTGCAATAGCCGCATCTTGGGCGCTCAGCACGCCCGAGTTGGAAATGCAGCTCTTCCAAACTAATGCTGATTCTACACTTACGCAGCGCTCCGCTTTTCCGTGGCGCTTCGCGTGAGACAGAAAAAGATAGAGATAGTCTCTGTCTTTTTCTATCTCACGCAAAACGCCACGGAAAAGCGGAGCGCTGGGTAAGTGTAGAATCAGCATAAAGTCGTATCGCATTCGTAAATTTTCGGTCTACTTGGAACGGCTCGTCACCCAAAATTTTTTCCGTGTAGAATAAAAATGATAATTAGGTATCAATATTTTCATTTCTATATAGGTATAAAAACATTTGAACTTTTAAAATTTAGATTTAAAGTTCCTAATTTTTTCTATTTTTATGATAAAATTGAAATTAGAATTACCAAAAATACAAATTAATTAATTAATCAAAAAATATCAATACCAACTTGATGCAAGAATTAATCAATATTTAACCCTTTGAGGAGCAGTGATTCATTTAATTCATATGAACAATTTTTTGTTAACTCGTGCATAACTTTGTTATGTTATTGTTATATTAAAATATTGCTGGAGGTTGTATTTTTAGAAATTAATTTTAGAAGCAATTTAGCAAAACCTGATGAGCTATTTTTCTTTATTTTCTCAATCATGATTTCTGAATATTTAAATCAACAAAATATTTTTTTTATTTAAATATATTTTAAAAAATTATTGACTATTAAAAATCAAAAATCAAAATTAAAAACATTTTCAAATTTTAAATTGTTTTTTTTAAAGTGACGATATTAATATTATAGCAAAATTTGAATTTGAGAAAGAAATAAATAAATTTCGTTAAAGAACTTGTTCATTATTTCAAAGAATCTAAATTTTCATAAAAATCGGAATTTTATTTATTCCTATTATTTAATGATAAAATATTGTCAGTTTTATATCAATAAATTTTTAACTTTTAAATCTTTATTTATAAAAAAATATATATAATTAATTAATCAAAATCTTATCACTGATTTTTATAAAATAATTCACCTTTTTATCTATTTTATAGAAAAAATGTACTGCGATCCTTGCACAGAGAGAGAGAGAATATACATATTAAATTTTATAAAAGTATTTTACAAATTGGGGAAAAAGTGCGACAAAACGAAACTTTGATATATAAGAAGTACTAAACTTTAAAAAACCTTATGTGACATTTAGTATAATTGTATCAAATATCAAGAATATTAATTAAATTCTAATATAACTTTACTAAATTTCACATAAGCTTTTTTAAAGTTTAGTATTTTTTATATCAAAATTTCGCTTTGTCGCACTTTTTCCCCAATTTGTAAAATATTTTTACAAAATGTAATATATATTCTCTCTCCGTGTGCAATGTATTTAATTAATTTTGACGAATCTGCATAGTTTTTTCTTCTACTTTCGATAATAACTCTAGGATTAACATTATATTGAATAATAGTAATTTAAATAAAAATCATATTGACTTGCATGCTTGAATTGAATTTTTCAGAATATTATACATTACACAAACAATTGATTAAGAATTGTGCTACTCGAAATTTTCGAATAAAATTATTATTTTTTTGTACAAGAAAAAATTTTTGACCTTGTAGTAGTAATTATTTACACAATTTGAATATATTTTATATTTTAAAATTAATATATTTTAGAAGATAAAATTTTTTGCAGTATCTAAGCTACAATATCAGGAAGGTCAACAAGATCAGTATTTTTAGTTATATAATTTATGGTACCAAGTTTTAATCTCAGCAATTCGAAAAGTCTCAGTCACATATGGTTGCAGTAAGAATTTTTACGCTCTTAGGTAATAGAAATGTTGTATCTCTATTTAAGGGGACTTTCTGGTCAAGGATTTCAAAAACCATTCGATTCTTTACCTAAAAAACTAGACAACAAACCTTTAAAATTTTACATTCGTATACCCCCTGTTATTTTCTACGGGGATAGAAAACGAAATAAAAATACTTCAGAAAAATTTTTAATTCTCTTCTCGTAATATATAACAATATCCAAAAAGGAATTTTTGCAACAACTATAATACATTTTTTACAATAAAAGTTTAAAAAGTGTATTTTTTTAGAAATTCTGCACCAGAAAGTCCCCTAAAGTTATATAGAGATGTATATCAAGCAAATGCTTTTTCGAAAAATAAAGTTTCATTTATTAAAGGAAACAGAAACAATAGTAAGATTTATCTGCTCGATTTGCATCACTAATATATAAAATCTTATATTGTACTGACACTTGTAAGTTTATAAAAAAAATTTTATTAAAATATAGTTGTTTATTTTCAGTAATACACTTGTCATTAGTTTCTATAGCATTTGCAATCGGATTTTCTTTTGACTCTAAAATGGAATTTGAGAAAGTTGCAAATTTATGCGATGAAGTATGTTTAGCGTCTCGTAAATTTTCCAACAGTTTGCATAAGGTGAATAAAACAATTTCCTTATTTATTAGATTGAGTGTACCAATTGCTGCGCTATTTTGAAAAATTTTATTATTTTAGAGTATAGGTAATTGTTTGAAAATTTTCGAAAACATTATTTTAAACCTTATATAATTCAATAATAATTGTCCATAAAAATGTTCATTTTTAAACTATTATTTATTTATTTAAAATCGAATGTTGCTTCGCACAGTAATTGATACATTTTCATCAAATACATGTGCTCTAATTACTGTAAGCAGAATAATCCCTAAATACAAGTTATTTTCGTGATAATAATTGGAGCACAGTAATTGTCACAAGCGCGCAGTAATAGAATATTTGATATCACTTTTGAAATTGGTTTAATTAATTTAAATAAATCTTTTTTGCATAAATATAAAAATAACACGAACTAGTTTCGTAAATTGTAAATTTCTTTCTTTCAATATAAACGTCATATTTTCTTTTCCAAAGATCGTCTTGATTAGAATCACGCAGTAATTGGTACATTTACCCTATGTAATAAATAGTTAAAAGGTAATAAATTATTCTTCTTTTAAATTAGACTCTAACTACAGACACGGAGGAGAATGTGGTTAATTCACCTTTCAGTTTGCACACTATTTTATCTCTGCTCTCACTTGGAGCCGAAAATGCAACTGCAGTCGAATTGAAATCAGGTCTTTTTCATCCTGAAACAAATTTAGAAAGTGGAATTAAAGGCCTTTTAGCTCTATTTAATGTAAGTTACAATTATCTTTCTTAAAATTTTAACTCAACTGTAAGTTTATAAAGTTGCTTCTTGTCTAATAGAAATTAAAAATTTGTTTACTTTTTTACAGAGTGTAAAAGATGTGGACTTTAGTGTCGCCAATATAATTTATGTTCAAGAGGACTTACACTTAAATCATGAATTTACATCTAAAAGCGCAGAAATATTTGGGTCTAGCGTTGTACAAGTTGATTTTAAGAAAGCCTCAAATGCTGTGGAACGAATTAATTCTTGGATTATTGAGAAAACTAGGAACAAGATAAAGGACTTGATATCATTGGGTAATTATAATTTGATGATAGAATAAGATTTTAGCGTATTATTGTTTTTACTTTAGCTATTTACTTTTTACTTATTTAATTTTAACCATTTACTTTTTACTTTATCAAAGTATCATACGGATATTAAAGTCTCAAATAGCAAAAAGTAAAAATAACAACTCAAGAAAACTAAAAAGTTACTTTTTTCATAATTTTCAATTTTCAAAACTTTTATAACTTTGTATAAAATTACCCCAAAAATCAATGAATCTGACAAATTAAAAGTAAGTCAGACACATTGAAAGCAATATTTTGCATTTCTAAACTTTAGCGTCAGATTCGTCCTTAGAAACAAAAATTTTTATTTGATAATTTTAATTAAATTGAAGAAGTTACTCGTAATCACAACTTTCAAAAAATTGATTTTTTACATTTTTTCAAAGTATAGTATCTTGAAAGTATTTTGCAAAAGTTTTAAATCAATTCGCAAAAAATTGACGAATGTAGCAAGGATTTTGTTGAAGGATAAAATCTGATTTATAATTAATCAGAGAAATTTGGCACAAAATTTAAAATTTTGACTTTGACCTTCTGCCGTTTTGTTAAACAAATTTTCTTTCAAATTCCTTCGATTCAGGACTAGAAAAACTAATCATTAGTCGAAATCAATTTCGATTTTTTTTATTTTGGATGACTCTGTGAAGAAGGAAGCAGTTTTGTAAGCAGACCTTCGAGAAAATTTCAATCCTAACAAAAACATCTTTGATGCAAGAAATTCCGCCAAGTAAAATTTATAACTAAAGTTTTTACATTAATTTATTTTATTAATTTCACTAATTAAATTTACGAATTAAGTCAATGTTTCACGTTATATTTTGGATTGTAACAAATAATATGAAATTTAATTTCATGTTTAACATAAGCAAAAAATAAAATCTAATTATTCGTCTTTATACAAAATTTCTATTTAAGGCAATTTTAAAATCTTGGCGTCAATAATTTTTCTGACTAAGAATTGAAATAAAAGTTTACCAAGTAAAATTTATAACTAAATTACTGAAATTAAATAGTATTGACGCCATAATTTTAAAATTGCCTTAAATAGAAATTTTTTATAAAGACAAATAATTAGATTTCATTTTCTGCATGTATTAAACATGAAATTAAATTTCATATTATTTGTTGCAATCCAAAATATAACGTAAAACATTGACTTAATTCGTAAATCTGATTAGTAAAATTAATAAAATAAATCAATATAAAAACTTTAGTTATTAATTTTACTTGGTAAACTTTTATTTCATTAATTGTTTGGACAATTTCAAAAACTTTTACTTGGCGGAATTTTTTGCATCAAAGATGTTTTTATTGGAATTTTAAAACTTTTTGCGATATTTCAAATTTTTAATAAATGCATGAAATAATATTAAAAGGGGAAGTGTTTAGAAATTTCTTTTCTTTTTCAATTTTTTTGAGAAAATTTAAAATATTTCAAAAAATGCAAAATGTATTAAAATTTCCTAAAATATATATCGAGATTTTAACCCAATTAATAATTTTCTAGAATTTTGCTTCCTCATAGAGGAAGGATTGTATTAGCAAAATTTTCGATTGTGATTTTTTGACATATTTATAAATTTTTTTTCATTATACCTAATCTTTTAGTACTTTATGTACGAATGGGCACTGCTCGTATAAATGTTCTAAATAAATAAAAAAAAATTTGGACGTATTTTGACCTCCGAAGTCCAAAAAACGGATTTTAAAAATTTGTCCCGATGTGTGTGTGTGTACTAACATTACATTTACCTCAATATCTCAGAACGAGAAAGAGCTAAAGGCCTCAATTTTTTTTTAAATTGTAGGTCTCCCCGGGGGACATAAAATGAGAGTATTTTCAGCCCGATTCATAAAGTTTAACTATATTTTTTTGCATTTTTCATTTTGTAAAAAAACGTTTTTTGGACATATCTTAAAAAAATGTTAGGACACTTATAAATATTTTTCTTTAGTTTTGTAGAGTTTTTTGAGACGCATCTTTTGAGCTTTCATTGAACATTTTTTGTCTATATTAGCCAGAGATATTAAAGTTTTAAAAATCTAAATTTTTTGAAAATAACACTTTTTTGAAAATTTTGTTGAAAAATATAAAAGAAACTTTAAAACTTTCATTACCAACTTGTAGAGCATTAAAAAAGGCTTCGATTGACCTATTTTTGAACCTGATTCGGTCAAAAATTATCAAATTATTGGTATTTGAAAAATCAAAAATTGTGGAAAATATAATTTTGTCAACATTCTTGTTTATTAACTTATGTGTAATTATTAAACTATTATTACCATCTTATAGAATATATAAAAACATATTTTTTGGACCAAGATTTAATGATTTTTAACTTTTTATAAAAATTAATTCTTATATTTCAATTATTATTATTTCTATGAGGAAGCAAAGTGTTCATGAAACGAACATTAAAATTATAAAAATGTACAACTTGGCAGCGGTTTTTTATGTATCCGTTTAGAAGTTTATAGTTTCTAGGTTTGTCTACATCTCGAAAAGTCGCTATTTTTCAGTTTTCATTGCTTAAATTCTATAAAAGTATCCAAAATATTGAATAAACTTATCAGAATTCTGTCTTTTATCATTCTTTATCAAGCAAAAAAAAAAAAAATTGATCAAAATCGGTTAAGATTTACTCGAGTTATTCTATTTTACTGATAAACAGTCGATATTTCGAGAATATATTTTTTTACTTTTTACTTGGCGGCGATTCTCTACCGCGAATCTTGATAAATTTCACTATGAAAAAAAATTCTGCAAAATACGTGCAAAAGTCCCAGACTGACCCCTTAATTATTTCAAAAGTTTTAACACAATTCTCTTGTTAAATTACAAAACTCTTCACTGAAATTTAATTATTTTTAAGAATTTTAATAAAATTGTTTGCAAAATTAAATTGTTTATAAATAACAATATTCATCACAAGAATTCAATTATTTTTAAAAGTAATAAAATTTTTCGAAGAAATACAATTATTATCAAAAAATTTAACGAATATCTCGTCAAGAATTCAATAATCTTTATAAATAGCAAAATTTTTCTACAAAAATTCAATTATTTTCAAAAAATTAAATAATATTCTTGTCAAAATTTCAATTATTTTCTAAAGTTTTTCGCAATTCAATGATTTTCAATATTTACTATTTTCGTAATTAAGGGTCAGGCTTAGCCAAACGGATCGGATAAATTAAAAAAAATTTGTTTTTAATGAAATATCTTTTATTCTCATCTTTATGTGATAAAAATAATGTCATAAAAAATTTAAAGCAAAAAAAAATTTTTTGTTATAGTTATTAACAATTAAAGTTTTTAACTATATTAAATGAAAATATTTTTTTCTTGAGTTCTTTTTAAGGGGGGGTTGGGGGGTATAGTTAATTCGGTGAAAAAAACGCATGTTTTTAAGAATTTTTTTTGGCGATACGCAGAAAGTTAATTTATTTTATCGCTTTGCATATAATACTGCAACATTTGAACAATATTTTTCTAAATTTTAATTTAAAAATATTAAGAACTGAGCAAGATTCTAACATTTTCCTCAGGCGCCTCCAAAAATTTGCGGTTTTCACTCTAACTCGCAACAGAATCATCCAAAACAAAAAAATCAAAGTGCATTTGTTAAAGGAGATGTTTTTTGAGGTAACATCGGAAGCCATTATTTTTTTATTAAAAAATTACCAATTTTACAATAACAAATTAATCGATTTTTTACAGTGAAAATCGACTTCTTGGCTTTCAAGTGCTACGGAAAATCGAAAAGTAAAAAAACAAAAAAATCACTTCCGATAATACCTCAAAAAACATCTCCTTTAACAAATGCATTTTGATTTTTTTGTTTTGGATGATTCTGTTGCGAGTTAGAGTGTACACCGCAAATCATTTTTTTTTTGACGCGGCTGAGAAAAATCTCATTATCTCGCTCAATTTTTAATATTTTTAAATCAAAATTTTAAAAAATATTGTTCAAATGTTGCAATGTTATATGCAAAGTGATAAAATAAATTAACTTTCTGCGTATCGCTAAAAAAAATTCTAAAAAACATGCGTTTTTTTCACCGAATTAACTATACCCCCCCCCCTTAACCGATTTTACAAACAAAAAGGCGTTATTTTCGTCTTGAAACGTAGAATTTAAAAATAAATTTTGTTTAAAAAAATTTTTATTTTTTATTGTTTTTTAAATTATTTATTTATAATATTATAATAAAAAACAGTCTTCTTCACGCTATACGTAAAATTAAAAAATACTATCGTATTCTGCATACATTTTTGAGTAAGAAACAATTGAGAAAAAAAATGGCCCGCTAATAGAAATAACAATGTTAAATTATTTTTGTCGACGTGTAAGTCGTTTTGATGGTGTTCACTGCCATCGCAGCGCAGACAAACATTAAAAAAACAAAAGAACCTCAAATTTAAACTTGATGTATAACGCGAAAAGAGCGAAAATAATTTAATATTGTTATTTTTAGTATCAGGACATTTTTTTCTAACATTCTATAAATTTTTTATGATATTATTTTCATCACATAAAGATGAGAATAAAAGATATTTCATTAAAAACAAAATTTTTTTAATTTATCCGATCCGTTTGGCTAAGCCTGACCCAAAATTAATCAAAAAGTTTAATTTTAAACAAATTTTTGATACAATTCTATGAAGTCATTCAATTATTTTCATAAATAATAAAATTTCCTTTAGAAATTCAACTATTTTTATCTCAGAATTTCAAATATTTTTACTACAATTTTAAATAAATTCCTGGAGAAATGAAATTATTCTTAGAAATTTTATTAAAATTCGACAAAGGAATTCAATTTTAAAAAACATTCAATTATTCAATAAAATTTGTTGCAATAATTCAATTATTTTCATAAATAACTTAATTCGTCTCAGAAAATCAATTATTTTCAAAATTCTGTTCATAAAATTAATTATTTTAAAGAATTTTAGTAAA